GCGTCGTAGTCCAACACATCTGGGGAGTGCATCAGCCTGGCAGATGCTCATACAGAGAGCACCTTTGTTGCTGTGATGTTTGCCACAGCAGGAAAGCAGCTGGAGGGGTTCCCCAGAGCCTCCTTGCTCTCTGGGTGGGGGGGGAGGGGTTGGGGGTCCTTTTTCGGAGAGATGTTCTGACTGAAGTGGCCCAGAGACCACGGGCCTGCTGCGATCCTGCCACTCTTTGGACCTTCTTTGTTCAGAGACAGTTTACTTCTGAGCATCAAACTCTGAAACATCTAGTTGGCCCCTGCAGGAAACAGGGCGCTAGAACAGATGAGCCTTGTTCTTATTATTGGGTCTGCTATTAATGAATTAATTAAATAATTGTTTATTACATTTCCTTATCTCCCAATAGCTAAAGCTCTCTGGACAGTTCACAATGAGTATAACCATAAAATGCCATATGATTGTAAACATTTAAAACTACAGTATAAAAAATAATTAAATAGCAGCAATGCAAATATTTGAAATATAGTACCTACCAGATTTAAAATGGAAGCTGAAAACCAAACCAAACTGCCTGGTCTTCATATGGCACCAAAAAGAGCGCAACCTTGGATCCAGGTGGGCCTCTCTGGGAAGCTCATTCCACAGCTGGGATGCCAGAACAGAAAAGGCGCTCTTTTTAGTAGCCACCCAGCTCACTTTCTTTAGCAGGGAGCTCCCAGAAGACGGTTGTACATGATCTTAGTGATTTATATGGCAGGGATGATGGTTTTCTTATCCCAAGGTTCGGTTCAGCCTGCTACTTTGTTTATCATGCAAGTCTCTTGTAGAAATGTTATTCACAGTACAGGCTTGAGTGCTTCTAAGAAATGGTTCATATCATACCTATGTCATGCCAGCCTGCCTGGACATCTCTGTAGACCTTCATGTCCCATTCTTCTGGATCAGGCTGAGAGTTCAGTTTCTTCATGACATCCAGCTACAACGCAGCTTATCTCCACTGCAAACCTCTCACCTTTCCTGGTATAATACCATCAAATAGGTTCTTAAGCATTGAGACAGGCTTAGGACCTGTTAGGTTGCTCTTTTCTTAGGTTTTTCATCTTCCAGAGCAAATCCACCTAGGCTGGATGTGCCTCAAGTACAAGATGGATTGAACTCCAAGGAATAATCCTTTTTTAAACAACTCTCCAGAGATTTTATTTGGAATAAAATCAATAATATTAGCAAGGGGTCTGTTTTTTTTTTTTTAATGAAGACTGACTTCCTCTCATTTAGATGCTGTATTTAAAGTGGCCAGAGTTGAAGAACTATGAACTGAGAGAAGAAAAGCAACTGGAGTAGACCTCAGGGACTCAGTGCAAAAAAGGAAGCCGTACAGGTTGCTCCCTGGAAGAGCTCTATGCTTATTTATGAGGATCACAGAGGATGTCTTAGAAGATTGCTATTTTCTTTTTACACAGTTGGGAGCTATTATTTTTAGAGCTTTATACTCTGTATCCAAGGCAGCTTGTCATCAACATAAAAAACACATGAAACACAGAAGCCTATCTTCAGCAAAGAGATAATTTAAAATGCTTGAAAGAAAGAAAATGCAGAACCTGAAAGCAACAGCATATGAATTGTATTCTACAAAGAGCTCTCAATCTGAAATTGATAGAGCCAGACAGGCCTGTTCTTGCTGCTGTTATTATTATGTTTAGTTATGGTATGACAAATTAAAAATGTTAAAGCATTACATGACATATAAAAACAACAAGAAACAAACATGGATATCAGAGCATACAACCAGTTCATGATACTATCCAGCTTAAACTGAATGTTCAGAGTACAATAAAAAAAGCAAGCTTTCAGAAAAATGGCAGCTCATGCGCTTTTAACTGGTTAGAGTATGTATATTATAGTTTCAGTTTAAAAGTTCTTAAGCAATTTACAGCATGTGAAGTATATCACTACAGCAAATTATAAAAGCAGTACAACACTCAACATTCAGACTAATTAGCACCACCATACACATATACGATGTGGTTCACAACACGTTCAGAAGGAAAGCAACATCACCTCTGTCTATGAATCTCTCTCTCTCTCTCTCTCTCTCTCTCTCTCTCTCTCTCTCTCTCTCTCACACACACACACACACACACACACACACACACACCCCACTGTAGGAGAGAAGCAACCTATTTATCTGTATGGACTGTCTGTCTGTAACTAGATAGCCGGATAGATAAAGCTTTCATGTCCTTCCAGGGGTTTGTAAACTACACTGAGTCAAGATGAGAGAACTCAGTCTGCCTCCACCCTTGATGATGAGCATTTGGCACTAAAGGTGGAAGACAAAAAGGTCACTTTGGCAAAGGAAAATCTTACATGGGGTTAAGAGGCAAGAGAAACTGTTTCGGCAGCTGAGGGTTTGGAGAAAGAGGGGAGAACCCAGGTATTAGGGCAAGCTAAAGGCTGAACTCGATGAGATATGCATGCATGGCTTTTCAAGTGGAAATAGCCACGAGGAGAGGTGGGATGATTATTACTGGGATCAGAGAGGGAAAAGACAGAGGGAGTTTATTTTCCGCTTTGCTGGGGTAAGATAACCGTTGCTTCTTTGGTGCTGCCGTTGGCATGGGGAGAAAGCTCCTGATGGTGCCAGTGGAAAGAGAGAACCCAGTGATGAGGTGTTTGAAGGATGGATGGATAGTGAAGAAACCTGTGGAAAAGATTAGAGGAACTGGAGAACTGAGAGGCCAGTTAGAAAGGAGGATGGAGGCCTAGGGAAAGCATTTGGGGAGTGCTGCGTAAGAGGAAAAAACAGGTGTGTGGGTCAGTGTTGAGAAGGGAGAGGCCTGAAGTTACAGTGCCTAAAGAAAGCAGGCCAGTTAAGACAGTGGGATTGAGGGAGAGAATTCAAGGGGACAGGGAACTTGAATAGGACCCCAGTGTGGAAAGAGATATATGCAGTTGGCAGGAAGGGGCAAGCAAGGGAACTCACATAGTGGAGTGCTTTAAGGTGGTAAAGAATTTTATGCAGTATTATTACTATTATTACATTTTTAGGCCTGTTTTATCAGAGAAGCCTACAAAAGTTAAAAGCAAGAATAAAAAATAAAAACTAAATGGCGCAAATGCACACTCTAGCTCAAATAGCGAGTGGTGGTTTCCTTTTCAGGCAGTTGCCCTCTGCCAGCACCCCATAGAGGAGAAGAGTGGGGCTGGAGTGCTGCTGCTTCTCACGCATTACTGTTAACTATTGTTTACCTGATCATCCAGATCTTTGATTGTAAGGTTATATTAATACTACTGTTTCTCATTTTCTCTTGACGACAGGAGTTGTGCAGAGGAAGGCGGCTTCCATATTACTCATCAGGCTGAAAAGAGTATGAAAGGTTTATTGGCAAGAAAAGCTGGAAGAGTCCTGTTGTACCACTTCAGATTGCAGACTGCCATTTTCAGGGTTGAATGATCTTCTATACTGAATATGGGTGGGTGCTAAGCTTGATGCCTTCTGCTAACACGTTAGCTTTCCATGGAGAAGCACATGGAAGATATTAAACATATGCTCCAAAAGAGTTTGGAATTTATTTATTTAAAACATTTGTATGCTGCCAATTGTGCCACAGCAAACCAAAAACGAAAGCAGATACCACAAGCTTGAAATGTACCAAACCTTGCCCTAGGGATGTCCCATCTGGCATTTACAGTAATTCTTTTTGGCACCGGGCAAACTTCTTGTTCATCCAGGCCTTTTAATACTGTGTGGAGTACAACCCTTTGCATGTTTAGGCAAAATTAAGTTCTACATCTTGCAGCATGCTGGGAACTGTAGGGCTTATTTCTGTTGAAACATGCACAGGGTAGCAACTTTTTTTAAAAAAACATGTGTGTCATACCAAATATTTGTAAAGTTTCAGATTTAGACTCAACTTTGAGTGTTTGATTCAGTTTCTTTTTATCCAGATTGGAATTGTTGACACTATCAATATGGATAGGGTTTTTAATGCAGGTGTTGAATATTATACTGCATATATTTCCCGTGGTTGCGTGTTCTTAAAGAAATAGGTTGAAAGGCTTACCAAAGAATGACTATTTTATCAGATGAGTGCATCAGACATGTGGCTATGGGCACAATCCTATGGCCTCCTGCCAGTCATCTGGGAGACCATAGGATTCTTTAGAATCCCAGCTCTGCACTATCCCTCCCTTGAGGGTGCAACTGGGCCTGAGAGGACAAAATGTGTATGCCACAGGGCAAGGAAGAGAGGCTGGGACTGAAGATTTACACTGCTTTCTATCAGTGTCCCAACTTCCTTTCCTCCCTGACACTTTATCTAGATGGCTGAAAATGGCTGCCTAGCTAAAGCACCTAGCTCAAAGTACGGCAATGGAGATTGCTGCCATGTTTCCTTCTGGGCATAGGATTTAAGTAGGCCTTGGAGTTTGGAAGAGGGAAAGACGTAGGCACCCTTAAAGAACTAAGTTGTCCCGTTTTACTTTGAAAATACGTTTCAACTTGGACTTGGTTCATTTCAGACTGAAGATCACCAGTTTTCCCGTTTGTACCCCATGTAGTCATGAGGTTTGTTAAAGAATAGATCTGAAATCAAAATATCCCTGCAATCTAGTCAATGAAAACAAGCTATTCTGAAGCAAAGACCATAGACGCCACCAGAGAATTTAGATAGGATCATAAGAAACCTCAGTTAGGTTGCCACAACTTGAATGGCTATGAAGCACTTGAGAAATAGGTGGGACTTCTTGAAGTTATTAAAGCAGTGCTCTGGATCAGTGGTTTCCAAACTGTGTTCTGCAGAACCCTAGGGTTCCACAAAAGCCTCATAGAGGTTTCATAAAAAAAAACCTCAAAAATCAAATTTAAAATGGATGTTAAAATGAAACCACACAAAACCGACTATTCAATTGTCAGTTGGTGCCCAAACAGCAAATAAGGAAATGCATCATGCCATTTGGTTCCTAAGACTCCATTGCATAGTGTTAGGAATAACTGAGAGAATTCATTTGGAATATTACCAGATAATTGCTTTATTTAAGTTATATTTAAAATGTTTTCTCTTTATTTCCAAACCTAGAATGTTATGCACAGCACTCAGACAATAGGAGCAGGTGAAAGAAGGAAGAACGTTGCGGGTTCACAATGTTTAGTAAAGATCAGAGATAGGGTTCCACGGATTAAAAAATGTCTTCAGAAAGTTTCCATGACCAAAAGAGTTTTGGAACCACTGCTCTAGATATCTGTATTCAGAGTCCCAGGATGATTATGTGTACATCCAAGAAGAAAGCATTAGACTTTGATCATTTTTGAACCATGTGACTAATGGATGCTTTTGTGATTTTCTACAGATACTTGCTTTCTAGTTGGAGGGTTACTGATTGTGGGGAATTTATTGACAACCTCTATTAAATTCCATTCAAAGACAACATGAGAAATTATTATATATGTACAGTTCCCATAGAGGTACAGATAATTCACCAAAGTATCTGCGAGTGGCTGAAGGCAGTAACAGCACGGCAGGCGTGCACGGTGCCAGCAACTTTGTGTTCCGGCTCAGACTAGGACTTTGTTTCTGCAAGTCCTTCTGTTGCTAGCGATGTTGCCCTGTATTGTTCTTTTTCATAATTTTCCTTGTTGGATGTCTTCATCCTCTGGCGGTCTTTCAGCTGTTTCATACGGTTTTTGTCCACTTGACGCTTAGTGAGGAGGAAAAGGATGATGCCAGAAGGGAAACCAATGGCCCTGGGGAGATAAATAAAATATGTAAGCTAAAAGGTATGTGGAATCTTTATTGCAGAAGGCACAGGGGTGTAAGCAGGCAACCAGGTGCTTCCAAACAGATTTTGGCTTGGTCAAAATCATATCTTTCTGCTGCTATTCCCATCTCATTACCTTTCCAACTTGGTCCATCTATGTGACACAAGGGTTCCCTAGTCCTTCTGTCAGACTGAATTACCCACGATCATAGCCTGCAAGAAGGTGAGTAAGCTAGGGATACTGGCAAGATAGTAAATGAAATGGATCATGTAATGCTCACCAAGCAATACCAACTGTCTTCATGGGGTTCCTGGCCTTCTTTTTAGGGATATACTTGACTTCTTCATAGGCTTGTCCACCAGGCTGTGGCTTTGAAGACAATTGTTCAAAAGCCTTGCAGCTACTGTGAAAGGGTCTGACAGAAGTTTTGAAATGCACAATTAAGCCTGCAGCTCGGCAATGACTCTTAGCAGCAGAAAGCAAGCCTGCAAGGAGAGATAGTCATGAAATTGTACTTTCTTCTATATAATCTAGATTTTGTTCAACTGTAAACTCTCAACCATTAAAATACATATCCTGCCAATACATAAGCACTGAGTAACTGCAGTTTGCACCCTTCTTTAGTTTATGAACCCAACATGTGTGCTCATAGGTAGGCCTAAGAAAACTTATTTCCAAGTAAACATATATGGCAGATTTAAGATGTAAGATTACACAGAAAATGGTCTAAACTCTCAGCATGCTCCACCTAACACTGGCTGAAGGTTATGCTGAGTGTGACTAGGCCCAGTATATTTCACAGCCTGGCAGAGTCTCTCCAGTTCAACACTCTAACCAGAACACCAAGATAACTAATGACAATTCCATTTGTTTAGGCTTGTGAGCATGTTGCAAAATGTCATTTAGCATTCCTGTTCCTTATGATGTCTATGGCATAACAAATGCTGGCAGGAAATTAAAACACAATGCCTGGCCAAATGTAAATGATAATAGGTCTTTCATATTTCTAACAAATCATACAGAACTGTGTAAGTTACTTGTTTCCTACAATTATACATTTGCAAAATAATTATACAACAGGAATGGATGAATGAGATGCACAAATCAATAAGCAGAACTTTCCTTGGCTAAATCATACAATTATTAACAAATGACCAGGCCTAAGAAAAACCCTTTTTTCTAGAAATCAGCATATGTGCATCCTTGAAATGCAGCTGATACTGACCAGGCACCAGTCTAGACAAAACAAGTTGGTACTTGACAGATAACAGCAGCTCAAATAAAGAGCAATTCACACCAGCCTACCCCCTTCTCCTCCTATGCGATAGCACCCCATCCTCTTCCCCTCCTTCAGAGCATCTTCCTTGGTAGGCAAGTGGGAAAGATCACACCTTGTAACTTTTTGCTTCTACAGCCTATTGGAAAGTGTTAACTGTATTACGCGGAACCCTTTAATGGTCAATGTATAATGCTGAGGACTGCTCAGGTGCGCCATCTGGAATAATATGCTGGCAGCCGGTTATACTGAAGAAAACTTTTAAAAGAAAACTTGCCCCTGTTGTGTATTTTGGGCATACACACAGCAGGACACTGAACATTTGGTCAGCAAGAGGATTTCAGAAGGCAGATTTTTTTCTTAATACAGAACTACTGTTACAAGCCAAAATGTATTTTCCTGTTTCTGCAATGCACCATTGATAATCTCTGTTTCTATCTCTCTCTCTTATGACAAGGAACTACTTGCAGAACACATAGCCCCCAGCACAATTCTGCAAACACTCTCGCGAGGAAGCAGCATTAATAGATGTGCATGCAGCAGTGAATTATTGGTGTGGAGCGTTAGACGGCGGCTGCAATAAATATATAAATCCCCAGCCGGCCATGCAGCCCACTGAATAGCTTTGGCCAGTTTTTCTCCCTCTCGGTCCAACCCACCTAGCAGGGCTGAGGGCTGTTGTGAAGATTTTTTAAAGAGAGGGGAAAAGTCATACATGTTGGCAGGTCCAGCTACGATACCATAACAATCCCTTGCCCAATTTAAAATCCTCTTTCTCTCCTAACTAGTTTCTGCACTTGTCTCACCTGGCAGCCACTTAAATCAGTGGCTGCCTTGATCCCTTTTTCCTCCCCGGAGTCTCATCATCCATTCCCCACCAAGATTCACTGCAAAAATGCCCGACAGGCTCCCCTACCCTGCAATCGAAAACTAGCAACCGCCATCTTGGAAAAGGCTCTCTACTCCCTCCCGTTGAACGCTGGGTAGTGAGACCACAAGAGGAAGAAACTTACAACTACAACTCCCATAATTCCTTTTTGCGGCTTAGAACTGGTGGCAGTGAAAGGCCCTACATACGGCAGGAGACCATAACAAATGGAAACCAAATTCTCTCCCACCCCGCGCTTGGAACATGAAACCAGCGAATGAAGAAAAAACTATTGACATCTCCGATTGGCTAATAGGTTCTCATGCCCTTTGGTGATTGGTTCTGAGGGCTCTGACTCCTCCCCACTTTAAGGAAGGCGGAGACAAAGAGGAGCGTGGCTAGCAAGATCGGTGGAGGTGTTTCTGGGGTGAGGGTGGGTTGAAGCCAGCATGGCGGAACCCGGAGACGGGGCAGACCTGGAACCGGCCCCGGAAGGGTCTGAGGCCCTTTTGCTGATGGCAGGTGGAGAGGGGGACGCGGAGGAGGTCGTGGAAGTGGTGGACCTTGGGCCGCCTGGACCTGGTAAGCGGAGTAGGGAGTGTGGCTGGAGAGCAGGATACTGGGTTAGAGGGGTTCCCTTCTGTAAAGACTACGAGGAGCAGAAGGCGGCAATGAGACCTAGAAGATTTAATGAGCTGGGTTCCCTTCTTATAGGGGTGGTGGTGGTTTCTTTGTATGGCTCCTGCAGTTCATTTCACAAAATACAGGAGGGTAGTTTGCTGATCCGAGGAGCATACAGTCGAAAATTTAAGATGAGGAGAGAAAGGTGGGGAAAAGACGGGGCTGGTTCTGGTAAGGGAAATCCCTCTTGGAATGAGGGACTTTCTAAGAAGAAGCCTCTTAGAAGAATTGAGAGTTAGACAGCTTCAGCCCTCAGGCTTCCAGTCTGAAAAGATGTGAAGAACAAGGCGGGGAGCAGGAATTAAGATAGTGAGGCTTACTTCAGTTACCCAGATGGATGAGAATAAATCAGTGGAGCTCAAGTTTGTAGTGTAGTTCCTGACCTCCTGAGCTGGCCTGACTGTCCTTCCTTCCTTCCTTTTTATTTATTTTATTTATTTATTAAAACATTTTTATGCTGCCCCATTTGCCGAAGCCTCGGGGCGGCTTACAACAATAAATTAAAAGTAATTATAATATAAATTACAATAAGTATAAACATTAAATTAAAAATACAAAAATACAGTATAAGATAAGCCGCCCTGGCCAAATAAAATCCAATAATATTAACAGTTAAAATGCCGCTTGAATAAAAAGGTCTTCACCTGGCGCCGAAAAACAAATAATGATGGCGCCAGGCGGACTTCTCTGGGGAGCGCGTTCCATAACTTAGGCGCCACCGCAGAGAAAGCCCTCCTCCGAGTACCTACCCTCCTAATTTCTTTCACGGAGGGTTCCCGGAGAAGGGCCTCCCCCGCCGATCTCAAGGGGCGGCTGGGCATATATGGATGCAAGTGCTCCTTTTTGCCTGCAAGTTTTGTTTTGTTTTTTTGAACTGGAGCCTAATCTGTTTCTCATCCCATCCCCTCAGAGCTAGATGTTCCTAAGAAGCCCTTCAGGTAGTAGTTAGGAGAGGGAGGAGCTAGAACTTCTGAGATGATGGGAAAAGATGGCTCAGTGTGGTGATTTGCCACCAGTCAGTTCCACTGGTGCCCCCCCTTGCTCAAAGCCAAGGGAGTTGGTGTTGCAATTTGTCAGAATGTTTGACCTGTGGTTTTAGCTCCAGATGGCCAGTGTATCCCACCAGGTCCTCCGCCTCTTCAGAACTGAATGGTGGGAGTGCACAGATATGCAGCAGCTGGATGCATCCATTTATTTATAATCTTGAGGAAGAAGCAGTTCATGCTGAATGACTTTTCAAAACTGTTTTGTTTCCCCTCTGCAGATGATCTCGCTGATGAAATAGAAGATGTGGATTTAGATGAGGAGGAGGCTGCTTGGGAGGCAGAGGAGGAAGATGAGGGGGTGGAGGAAGGCATGGAGGCCCAAGATGACAGCGAGGTGACATTCTCTAAGCATACAGGTGAGCTATCACAGGCATGAGATTAGATTTTCTGCCCCATTGTCTGCTTTCCCATGTTCAGTACCTTCCCACTGTTTGAGATTCTGTGGGCTGGAGAGACTGAGGAGCTGAGGAGATCGAGATGACCTCCCCATGCAGAGGGAGTTGCAGGGCTATGTGGGCTATGTCCGTCCTAACCCTGGCCTCCCACCATTGCAGCTCACCCCTGCTATTGACAAATTCAGCCAATGCAGGAAAGAATCTATAGATACACAACACATATGACCCTATTTCCCCAAATATTTTTCTGTGTGTGGATGAACATTTTTTTTATCAGTGGAGTAAACTTGATTGACGAAGGATTGATGCTGCCATGGAGTTAGTCACTTAGCCATTTGTCAGTGGCTTGTATGGTCATCTGTTGGTGAGGAGCTTATGGGCCATCAGCAAATACACACAGGCTGGTCAGCAGTTTTTAGTCTAGGACCTAGTTCTGAGAATTTAAAGCTAGGAGTGCTAATGTTAATTGCCCAATTAACTTCCTAAGCTGGGAATTTAGCCCTGTGACATGCTTTTTTTTTCTTTAGAAAAAGATGCTCTTTAGCAAAGATGGTGCATCAGTACAATAATGTTATATTGTGAGAGTTAGTGAGAAGGGCTGTGTCAGTTGAGAGTATGACTCTCACCATTTTCTCTTCCTAAAGCTGTGCTGGACCTTATAAGCAGGGTGGCTAACAGGTAGCCCCCACAGAAGTTTAGGCCTGCAGCCTCCATCAGCCCTAGCCAGCACCATCAGTAGTGATGGAAGTTGTCGGCCAAATCATCTGAAGGACCACATGTTGCCACTCCTGTTATAAAACAAGGGGAGAATTGCTTACGTGGGCCATTACCAGTTCTACCTTTGAATGGCCATGCCCAGGTTTGGAGATAGCACAGCTCCTCTCATGTCCTTTGAGAAGTTTGCTTGCTCCCAGTGCAGGCAGCTGAGTGCTTGTGTGGGGTGCTTGTCTTCTGTTACTGATGTTAACATTGTTCTGTCCATTCTCCACAGCATCAGTTTTTTGTGTTAGCCTTGATCCCAAGACCAACACACTGGCAGTGACTGGAGGTGAAGATGACAAGGCCTTTGTGTGGCGCCTCAGTGATGGCGAGCTCCAGTTTGAATGCTCAGGTAAGCCATCCTAAATTCGGTACTGTTTGTTTGGAGAGTGGCTTAAAATGTTCCTTCCCATAGTGGGCTTACTTTGTGTTGTTGCAGTCACCCCCTCCAAAAAAAAAAAAAAAAAAAAGTTTTAAAAAAGACATTTCTCCCGTGGATTGCACCAGAGATGCTGAAATTCTTCAGAATGTGATTTGAGCAGGAAGGAGGAGGAGTTGGAGACCCTTTACCATATCCTCCCCCACCTCCCCACTTTCTTCTTCCAGCTTCCAAAGTCTGGCTGTAGATGGCCATAGGCAGGGGGCTCCACATAACGGAAAAAGTAGTCCAGAGTGGTCCTGTTCTGCTGCAAAGAGAAATGAGGTGTGGCTCATTATGGAGCAATGGAATTGTATTATTAACAGTACTAATGCTAGCCTATTACTAGTATTATTATTTATATAGTGCTCTGTACAACAAGATATGTAAGAAGAGCAGTATTATTGTCCTGATATTGAAGTATGTGTGCATTGGGGTGCAGCTTGAGGTGGAGAGAGATGGGCTTGCCTAAGACTCCCAAATTAATTTCATGGCAGAGGTGAGATTCAGCCAACCACTTCTCGGTATACAATGCAGTTTCTTGGTGGTAATCCTGTAACTGTTTACCTAGACTAAGCCCCATTGAGCTCTGTGAGATTCATTTCTGTCTACCCCTATATAGGATTGCACTTGTATGTTGCCCAAGTGTACATAGGCTACAAGTAGAAGTTAGGATGACATAATGAGGAAATATAAATACTGGAACACTGAGGCCAGGAATTGCAGCACAAAGGCTCAAGTTAAAGTGCTGATCTCCTGAACCCTCAGCTCTCTCAGATGGTCTTGTGTGCGTTTAGACAGAAATAAGTCTTACAGATCCCAGTATCTCTCAGCAAGCAGGGCTGGGAATTATAGGACTTATTTCTGTATAAAAGTACATGGAATTGCGCTTTTAATTATTTAAAATATATCTGTCACCAAAGCATGATCTTCTTCTTTTTGCTCTCTCTAGGTCACAAAGACTCTGTCACTTGTGCTGGTTTCAGCCATGACTCTACATTTGTGGCCACAGGTGACATGAGTGGACTGATCAAAGTCTGGCGGGTAGACACCAAAGAGGAGATCTGGTCTTTTGAAGTGGGTGACTTGGAGGTGAGCAATGGGGCCTGCAAGTTTCAGAGCAAAAGCTTTGTCATGAGAAAATACAACCAGTTTATCCAGTGGAAACTGTGGCAGCCTCGATTCACTGCACCGAGAGTTTCACCCTAAGGCTGCCAATGAAAGAACAAACACATAGCAGTGAAGTTTGATTGGCTCTCATTGAGCTGAGGGAACGGTGAATATCTTGCAAAAAAAAAAAAAAAAAAGTAACAGGGAGTTGAATGGAACCTGACAGACCATTGGAATTGGAGATGTGTCCAGAACTATTCTTATTCAACACTTCTAAGGACTGGTTGGCTGTGATCTACCTTTTCTTTTGTTGTTGAATGCAATTACTTTTTTATGCAGAAGAAGGGATGCTGATTTTTGAAAGCCTTTAGATGGAGTTTTATGAATTAATTGGGAATTGTAACAATGGAACACTTCAGGACTTGACTAATTTTCTTTAGCAAGCTTGATTGACAGATTGTTTTGATTTTGGTTATCTGCAGATGTTCCAAATTATGTGTTTAAGCTCAGAAGCTGGACCTGACAATACCATAGGTGCTGCAGACTTCTCTCCTGCCTTTTTGTGCTCTTAAGAAGTACCCTGTAGCCACGGAGTCTCTTAAAAGACTTCAGACAAAGCAGTAAACAATTTATCATGTTAGCTATCTCTCTCACACACTCACACTCACATCTGTAGATTTCATGGGAGTATGCTAGGCTGAGTAGACCTTTGGCCAACAAAATGGGAAAAAAGAAATGGCATTTAAAGGCCCATGCAAAGGTAGATAAGGGATATCTGAGAGTCAGTGTGGTTAGAGCATTGGACGGGGCACCTGGAATTCCGGGTTCTATTCCTATTCAGTAATGAAGCTGACTGTGTGACTTTGGACCAATCAGCCTTAGCCTAACCTACATCACAGGACTGTTCTTAAAATAAAAATGGAGTACAGAAAAGCTATATAACCTGTCAGTGGTTCTTTGCAAGAGGAAAAAAGGTGGGCTACAGATACGATGTTATAACAGATACAGTATACTTAGTGAAGAGCCAAAAGGGGTCAATGAGTTGTAGCTTCCTATTCAAGGAAATATATTCTTTTTTGAGGATGAAGGGATTTTTTTCACCATTGAGGGAATCCTAGATATTGGGTGGTTTAGAAATGCAGTAAATCATATATATCACAATGTTAGTCTCCATGTGATGTCATGCTGTGTGTGATATTTTCCAGTGGCTTACTTTGTAGTGCGGTGCCTCTTGGCTTTTGATCATGGTAATGTGGTGTGAGTTTGCTGAACAATTCCCAGTGAAAAACTCTAGTAAATTAGGGATATGATTTACATTGAAGTAAATGCACTGTATGGTGGTTCAGTCGTTATATACCTGAGTTTTCAACTGGAGGCATTTCTGATATCTCTGTGCATGATGATCCGATCCTAAATAACTTGATGTTTCAGTGCAAGCTGGCAGCGTTATGATCACTGCAAGGTTGGTAACTTGGTTCATTCAGTGTTCCTTGTCAATCTTCATCACCATCCACAGCCTAACCAGTGTTCTCAAAACCTCACAGAGGTGCTAAGATGTGACAGTTGCACAATTGATGTTGTAGGGCAACATTCAAAGCACGCCCGGTGAAATTTGGTGGGACATATTTGAGAGAAGGTATGATCTAGCGAGAGTTATGAGGCTGGATGTCTACAGAAGAAATCTCGCCTCAGTCACAAGTATCCTAGATGATCTTAGGCAAGCTGAACCTCTCTTAACATGCTAGGTGTTAGTCTTCTTAATAACATAATCAATCTTGGGCTGATGGAAGGGTTCCAGGTAATTAACACTGCATGAGCAAGGACTTGGTTAAAAGCAAAAACGCTGCATGGCAAACCAGTCAGTTCTTCCCAGTTTTGTTTACTCCCAACCTGTTGCTTTCTCTCTCCTTCTTCCCATCTGAACCCAGTGGATGGAGTGGCACCCTCAATCCCACATCCTTGTGGCTGGCACAGCTGATGGCAACTCTTGGATGTGGAAGATCCCTAGTGGAGAGTGCAAGACTTTCCAAGGGCCAAACTGTCCAGCTACTTGTGGCCACGTCCTCCCTGATGGTGAGCAGCGGGGCCTGGGCTCTGGGGCTTGGCTTGCAGGGTGGGGCTTCCCAGTGGCAGGAGCAGCTTGATGAAGCTTTGCTCTTCTCAGTTAATTTCCCATTGCCTCTTAGCACAGAGGAATAGCAAGAGTGGGTTGTGTTGGAGAGGTGTTAGGAGCCCTTGGTGAATCTAGGCTTGACACCTATCTGGGAATCCCCGAATGTGACATTCACCAAGATGTTCAATGCAGGAAAGAGAGCCGTGGTTGGTTATGAAGATGGGACGGTACGCATCTGGGATCTCAAGCAGGGCAGTTCGCTCCATGTCCTCAAAGGTACCAAGTATCTTATTCTCTCCTCTTATAGAGCTGCAGGGACCAACTCAGGGACTCACTTAGCCCAGCCTCCTTGTGGTGCAGGAGATCCGCCTCTGTGGCATCTCTGGTAGATGGCTCGCCAGCCCTTGCTTAAAGATCGTTTATTTCAATAACTGTTGAGAAGCAGGAGTGAGGTTTGAGATCTGGCTAAGGAGCAGAATGAGCCTTCATTGAAAGATTTCTATCTTGGTTTAGAGGAATTGCAAAAGCAGGCAATAGCCTTTTCTGAGGAACACATGAAATTGCAAGACATTTATAGTGACTAGCCAGGGAAAAAACGTGCCTTGTGGACAATTTGTGCATAATTTCATTTTGCTGCAGCACAGCCTATTGGCAGTCCATCCTTATGGCTAAAGAGCATCACCCAGTTTGCAACAAAACTGCCACAGCTTGCTTTGAGTTTTTCTTCCATAACTTCCTACTGTGAATGGGTAGCATTCCTTCTGTGGCATTGAAATACTTCTGTTCACAGATAAGAAGGTGTTGTGACTGGAAGCTTCAGTGAAGATGGGAGCGGGAGGGCTCAGTGCTTTCTTTGGCATTTTCTGTGATCTGGTTGTGTGAACTTTGTTCTTAATAACTTCCAGGTCAGGATGGGCACCAGGGCCCTTTGACCTGTGTGTCCAACAACAAGGATGGCAGCTTGATCCTGACAGGCTCCGTTGACTGCCAGGCCAAGCTAGTGAACTCTGCTACTGGTAAGGTAAGTGCTTTTTCTCCATGCTAGGATGAATGTATCTTTTCAGCAGAGATGTATGTTTTGGTTTCAACAAGCAGCAGCCAGCCTTGCCCATCTGGCTAAGGGATGACTGGACACTTGCTCTTGATTGTTGGCTGTGCTTCTCTCTCAAGCAGCTCTTGTATCACTTCTTTGTTTTAACAATCACAGTATTATTGTACTCTTCTTCCAAGGATATCAGAGTTCTCCTCCTCCATCCTCATAGCATCCTTTGAAGCAGAGTTGGGTAGATAGATGGTGGCTGTCTGTGGTCACCAGGTGACCATCATAGCTGAATATAATTTGAGACTGGGTCCCCAGTCTGAGCCTGAACTGTAACCATTACACTTGCCTTCCCAAACCTTCTGGATGTTCTGGACCTTGACTTCCATCAGCCCCATCCAGCACAGCCAGTGGTCGTGTATCAGTCCCCAGGTGCCTATTGCAGCCAAGTCCCTTCTCTTGAGATTTTATGTTACTTAGGGAAAAGTAAAACCACCTGAGCTGATATATGGTTCAGGGTTATGGTTAGAGGCAGGAGGGCTAAGGTTTTGGCTGGCCTTGACCCACACTGGCCAGGGCGTTGTGGTGCCTCAAATATAAAGAATCAAAAGAAAATGGTTTGTCTCTTGACTGTAGTGTGATCTCTCTCTCTGCAGGTGGTGTCAGTGTTCAAAGTGGAGAGTGCTGTTCCCAGGGCTGCAGCAGGAGAAGCTGAGGAGGCTGAATCCAACTCAGTTGAGTCCCTGGGCTTCTGCAACATGTGAGTATCTGGCAGCAGGAGGGAGCAGTTATTGGCATCTTGGTATAGCTGTCCTGTGCTGCAAGTTGGGGGGAAAGAGAGCAGAAACTCAATACTACAGTAGCTGATGAACTCAGCTTAGTGAACTAACTACACTGCATTACTGAGTTTATAGGTATGGTTCCTCCTTGGTCTGCTTAGCAATTTCGTCTTCCTGTAGCTGTTACCTTAGAAACAGTCCAAGAGGATGAATATTTTAAAGGCAGGGAGTTTCTAGATGATGACATTAAAAATGTGTGCGTAATGCCAGGGATTCCCAGAAGCTGGTTAGACTGTGTGATGAAGTGGCCCCTAGGCCCAGTGGTGCTGGACATTGTAGTGAAGGCAGTTGTCCCATTATGTGCATGCAAATGTTTTGCTTCTTTCAGCAGCTGGGTCCCAGAAGGTCCCGAGATGCAAAAGCTGGAAAGGGGCTGAGTAGGTTTTTCCTGCAGTCAAGAAGAGACAGGCTCCGATATCCAGCATAGGCCTTGGCTATCACCAGCAGCACTGCAGAATGAAAAGGAATATTTATTTTTAAAAATGTGCTTATCTAAGTCATACAGGTGACACAATTCAACTTTTTACCACTATAGAGATGAGGTATTTTGAGGTAGACATCCTTTATTGTGCGTTTCTTTTCACCGGTATAAAGTCATGCTAACTAGAAACTTGCTTTTGAACAAGTTAAATGTGGTATGTAGTAAGCTGAATTATACACCCTGCACCAAATTCTACACTTGCAACACAGTTCGTGTATACAATTCCTGAGTGTGTTTACGGGTGCCTCTGCCAGAATCCTGTTGTATGTTTGGGCTGCCATGAAGCGAAAGGTCCTGCACTTTTGAAAGCGATGGCATGACTGGCCTAGCAATCTGCCATAAAACTTCCCTCTCCTACTTTGCTATTGCAGGATGCCGCTGGCTGCTGTTGGCTATTTGGATGGGACCTTGGCTATTTATGATCTTGCCACTCAGACCCTGAGACACAAGTGCCAGCATGAGGTAATGGAGAGGATCCCTCAGGGAATAGCAGGGGATGCTGCGAAGAAGTATTGGCCTGGATGATCTGTTCTGAAAGGCTAAACCACAAGGAGGAGAATGGGCTGTTTTCCAGGAGGGTGTGGGAGACAGCAGTTCCTGGCAGTAGTGAATGGTACTGGGCCCTTGACATACAGTCTCCCTGGTGACAGAAAGCTCAAATGGCTATTCAGTCTCCTTGTAGCTAGATGGGACTTGTGAAGTTAGCGTTGCACTTCAGAAGGCTATTAATCTGGAGGAAGGAATGGGTAGAGAAGTCTGGAAGTGTCCATGTGTGTTTCTACGGCTTCTGATTAGGAGGGTAGGAACCTCAACCCTAATCCTGATGGATAGCCACTTTTGTCAACACTGGTTTTGCAAGAGGGGGGAATACAAGTATGCTCCTGTTACACAGGGGCTATTAGCCTAACAAACGTATTTCTAAACACTTCTGTAATCCAGCTGTATATTCAGTCTCTGCCTGGTTACCCCTAGTAGCAAAGAATTGCATGCAGGCAGGTAAGCAAGTTGCAGTGGAGGGGTGGAATGTCCCTCTTCTGTACCTCACACAGGGAAATCCTCATCTCATCACCCAGCACAGAGGTCTAACAGGCCACCAGAGGAGCGATGGATCTGTCCTTCGCACACTCTGCCAGCTTCTAGCAGGCAATTTTTGTGGGCCAGCTGAAAAAGCTGCTACAATCCCTTCTTCCTGAGATCTCCTTTCTTCCAGCTGATACCCTCTGCCATGCCAGTTTGATTTTGGCATGCACTCCGGGAAAGATCTTTGGGTACCACATTTCATTTGTGGGGTTGGAGGCAAGGCTGAGTGGGAGAATGCAGGTGTGATTGTTATTTTAAGCCTACTGACAAGTTAGTGGGGCTGCATCACTTGGCAGCACTTTCATCTAGTTTTGCATATATCAAACCTGCCTGCTTGAAAAATGCACTTTTTGGTTCTGTGCAACAGCTTGATTCTTGGCAGAATATTTCAAGGATAATTACCTTGAAATGTGCTCATAGTTCCAGTCACTGTTTGGAAATAACTGCAAAAGGATTGCGTGGGGTTTGGGTAATTCCTGGAGCTGCACCCCCACTTTTGTTTTTTGACAAAGAAACAAAACAAAATTTGTTTTTCTTTCAACATGTGGAGCTGGGGGAGGCTTGGCTGCATGCTGAGAGGGTGGGAGTAAGAGTGACTCTTACAAGGATCTTTCTGCCTGCCTTTGTAGTCAGGAATCGTGCAACTCCTGTGGGAGGAAAGCTCCCCTGTGGTCTACACCTGCAGCCTGGATGGAGCTGTGTGCCTTTGGGATGCCCGGTCGGGCAAGCTGATCAGCGAGTACCGAGGCCACTCGGCGGAAATCTTGGACTTCGCTTTGAACAAGTGAGTGCTTGGAGTCTGCGCTGTTCTCTGTGGGACGGCATTGCAGGAGATGCTGTGTTCAGAAAGCAAGTGAAAAGTGCCTGAGGCTGGGATAGCCTGCGTGTAGATCAGGACAGATAAGGTGTGAGAATCTGGTGTTGGGTTTACGAGGTCCAGAGAGGACTATAACAGGTCATAGCAGGTTTGGTAGCTTGTGTGAGTACTGTTGCTTGTGGGGAAATCCTGTTCTTTCCAAACTTTTACTCTGCCTTGGTATGTGACATTCTTTTCTCCCTCCTTCCTTTGTCCTTTTAATTTAGAAATTTAGCTCCATTGGTAGTTGTCATAAAGCAGACATTGGACAGTTTGTGACCCTCTGGATGGTTTAGTCTACAGCTTCAGCAGCCCTAGCTAGAACAGCCAGTGGCGTGCAGTCCTAAGAGTTGTAAGCCAACATTCGTGGAGGTCCACGATTTTCCCCACCTTGTCATTAGGGCCAGAGTTACAATAAAATGGTGTATGTTTTGGTGGGGATGAAGTCATCCTTGGGTAACTTAGTACTGTCTTTTTTTATCACTCAGTTCATTCTCTGATATCTGTCCCTCATGGGGGTTGGAAGATGGATGAACAAGAGATTGTGATGCTTTGCACACTTACGTGGAGTAACCCTTCTGGAAAGCAGCAGCATTTGCTTCTGCTCTGGGATCCTGTAAATCATGGCAGGGTTGTTGTCAGTCTCCAGTTCTTAGTGATTTAGGGCACCTTCCTCAGCAGGGTTAGGAGGAAAAGCATCCCACAGTTGTCAGCGTTCCCCAGTCATGCCATGCACGCAACATTGGACTGCAGGCCTGCACATGCCTATCTGGGCGTAGGTTTGATTACTGTGGGGCTTCCCTCCAAGTAGGCACGCGTGAGTTGCATTCTGCAGGAACCCTCATGGGTTTTACCGCTGCTCTTACGGCTTCAGCTTTCTGAGTTTTGTGGCTGTTTCTTCTTTCAACTGTTTTGCTCTATTCGAATTTCATTGTAAGTTTATCTTTCCATATTGCATTTTTTCTTCGATAGACACCTTGAAGTTTATAGATTTTAAATGCCTTAAATAACCTCCCAAAAAACTCATTTTTTTTATTGCCATCTTTTCCGGCAGAGATGCTTCCATTGTGGTCACCACTTCTGGCGATCATCAGGCCAAGGTGTTCTGTGTGCAGCGCCCTGACCGCTAACGGTGCCTCCCTCAAACAGCAACTGGCCCTGCAAGGAAAGAGGCCCAGGTGGACCCAGGCGGCCACACCAGCTGGACTGTGGTGGGGTGGGCGGGGATTGGCATCATTGCATCTAACCTTTTGGAGGGGTTGTTTTTTGTGTTCCTTTTAAGGGGGAAGCTTTGCCAGTTTATCCCCTGATGATTCCAGGGCGACCCTCTGGAGTTTCGTACAAGGGGCTTTTAATTATTCCACTTGTGTGGCGCTTGTGGCATTACAAAGCTGTGAGAACACAGAAGGTCTGTTCTGAGGATGTGTCCTCAACATGACAGTGGTGGGAAGGTGTGCCACGCCTCAGAAAAATCTTGACCTTCCCTTCCGTCTCAGGTATGACTTCCCCTCGCATCACCTTTTTGAAGAAGTGTGTGGAAGAGACCCCATCTTCCATGCTCCCTCCCCAGACGCGGGGGTGGGTGGGATGCGTCACGTCCTCTGAAAGGACGAGGAAGCCCGCCCTTTCCCTTGTTGAAATCTTTGCCATTGGTGTTCCTATGAGCAGATCATGGCTTGGTGAGAGGTCGGGTCAGGTCTGAGTGCTGATGCTCGTGGAGTGTCTAGGCAACATGGTTTCTTGGGAGGCCGGAAAGACCAGCCTGGGCTTCACAGCTCAGCCTGTTAGAAACAGCACCACCAATGCAACATACTGAAAAAACCAATCCTACCTTTGCTATTGGAAGACATCATGATGCAATAAAAAGGAAGGCTACTATCTTTCAGAGGGCGTGCTTGGCTTTTTGGCCTACTTGATACAGTTGAATGATGTCTCAACCTAGGGCATCCGTTGACCAATGTCTCCTGTGTCCCTGCACAGCTGAAAAGTGGAATTGAATGCTTCCTGGCAAGGAAACGGGAAGCTACCTCTGTTCCTGCACCAGCTGGTTCCTTGGTCTCAGCAGAGCAACTGGATTGGACATTCTGTTTTGTAGTGCTCAGTGGTTCTTGGTTTACTGCAGGGGTGATTAGCCTCTTATTTGGTCTACAACCCGCATCAAACCTCACCACTGGCTGTGTTGGTGATTGTAGATCACATCTGAAGGGCCACAAGTTGCCTGCTGTTGAGCAGTGGCATGACAGGCCTCGCCCTTATAGCAGCCAGATGTGTGAATACAGATGGAGCTGTTCAAGGCAGCTATTCTGTGAGACCTTTAAGCTGTGGCAAAGAGCTCCCTTTTTGTCTGGGTTTGATGCTGACAAGAGACAGGGTGGGGGAAAGAATATACTACATTGCCAGCTATTACTTCAAGGTCCATCCTTACTCTCCTGGAATGGAGGACACAGAACACGAAGGGAAAACATTTGAAAGAGGAGCTGCCATGCTGCCTGTGAGAACTAACAAGGAGAGGGTCCTTGGATGCAGCTTACCTGTCCTCTGCCCCACAGCAATTACCATTTTGGTCTCTTAATATCCCTGGGCACGGGCATTCCAGAGAAGGGGCATCTGCCATGGGGGAGAGGGGGTCCTGCATCATACCCTCCCCTGTTTTGGGTGACAACTTGCAGCTTGAGTGCCGTGATCATAGCTTAGTGGCATCCTCAAGCTGGTAAAGCAAAGCTCTGCATGGCATTCTCTGTTCAGAGGACCATGGGAGGAAGAGTTTCACAACAGTTTGATCCAGAAGGCGGAGAGGCAAGCAGGAGGATCCCAAACTGAATATATAGAACTGGGAATGGAAGAATAAAAAGCAATTCATAACACGGTACCAGGTATATATTTATGATCTTCCTAGTAGATTCTACTGAGATAAGTGGAGAAAAATCTCAAATGAAGCTGCCTGTTCCACCATTGTCTTACTGAATGCTTTCCCAGCATTTCTTCCATTGTTTGGAAGCGGTCTGGCAGATGGGTCCTTCGCCTGACTCCCTTCCTTTGCTCTACCTGGAAGGTTGATTTGGATTCATAGTGAGGCCTTCAGTCTCCAATTGAAACCAAGCCAACTAACTATGGGAGGAATCCAGCAGCACACACTGGTGAGTGCTAGTGATACAGATGACATTTCAGCAGCGAATTGCTACTTTTCCCACTGCATTGCACAAGTATTTGTTGGCAATAGCACAGCACTCATAGTGCTAGTGGGAATATAGTGTTGGATTCTTCCCTGGTTTTGCATTGCCTGATTAACCCTTTTTGGCCTTGATTAAACTCTCAGCCCCTGAAGATTGGGAATTTGCCCAAGCTGTCCCACAGTAATTTTCCACATCACTCTTCTTGAGCCATCGTCTTCTCACTACCACCAGTAATCCGGAACAGGCATGCATAGTGGTCTGGAAGGGTCATCCAAGTGTATTCCAACTTGGTTCTTTTCACCCCATTTCTAGCGTACCATCCAAACAATTTAAGCAGTTTCGGTACCTGTCACTAGGTGCAGGAGGGCTTGGATGCTGCCTTTATACAAACCTCTGAACCAAACTCTTCCTCAGTCTTGGCTTCCTAGAATTAAGGAGATTCCAACATTTTTGTCATATTTCTGTCTCCCCCCCCCTCCCCACGCACACACTGTTGTCCTGCAGGAATCAACCAGCTATCCTTGAATGGACCTGCCCCATCTTACCTGGGGGGTATTTACAGTGTGGTGTAAATACCTCTAACACCCCTTTTCCTCCTCTGCATATGCCCATATTTCAGCGGTGATTGGAAAAGCAGAAGAAGATTCTCTCATGGTCTTGGGAAAACTTCAGCAATTTGATAGAAGAAAGTGCTGGTTTCATTGCAGCCTGCTTTCTTAGCAGAGCTCACCCTTGGGATCACTCCCAGACTCACTTCCCTTTGTTCCTTCAAACCTGTTACTAGATTATCAAGACTAAAGGGATGAGGTCAGTAGAGTGCCATGTTACAATCAGGACTGTATGGAGCTGTCGATTTTGGTTTCACTCGGCTGCTTGTTTCCCAATCCAGAGTTCATTATGTGTGTTCGTATCATTTTGCAATCTATTTCCCTTAAAGGTCAGCATGAAAATGCATGCATATTTCTCCTAATGCATACTTTTACCTAATTTGTATCATTGACAAATCATTTTCCAAAATAGAATGCATTTTTATGTACAGCGTTTTTTCTGATGTATGCATTCTCATGCCTGCTTTCTAATACATGAAATTTTGTATACATATTTTTGATTGGAAAACTGCATTGCAAAATTTGGAGGAGTATGACTCTCCAAGTACAGCTGTGTTTCAGTTCATGTACTGTTTTTAATGGTACAAAATAAGCTTGGTAAACTGTAAGCCAGGCAAAATTCTTCCCTGTCCCAAGTCACAGCCATAGTTCTTGGAAACCACTCCTGTGTTTTTGTAAAATGTGACCTTTGGAAGCCCTGAATCTGACTTTCGCTTCTGGGTCCATGGCTCCATGCAAAGCGTCTCAAGGCGTCTTCTGCATTTTTCTCAGACGTCCTCTTTCTTGAGGGTGATACTTCGCACACTCAGGTCATGGTGGTGGGAGAGCCTATCACTGAGAGTGGTGCCTGTGGCCCGAATGCTGCAAAACTGTACATACAGGTCCTCGGATGATAATATGGAGAGTTGGCATGTGTACAGTCTCCTAAGATTCTACCACTTCCACATGTAGGTGGGAGAGCACATATTTCAGTGAGTATTGGGATATACTATATGATGTATGGGGTGGAAGTCCTTGCAGGCATACCTCCTGTGTTCCCCCACCCTCTCCCAAGCAAGTGAAGGAGAAGGCTGAGTTAGGGTTCTGTTGAATAACAGCTTCCCATGTTGAAACAAGCACTATCTGGATGCATTCCTTCCTTCCCACCCCACGCCGTGTTGTGAGGGGCTACATCATAGGAGAGTTGCTTTTCCGTAGGTCACCTTTTCTCAACCTGGTGCCCCCCAGATGTACTGAACTGTAATTCCTGCCTTCCCTAGGTGGTGTGCCTCCTCAAATTTTAAGAGCTTTTGTTCAAATGGAATATTTTAAGATCAGTGCCAGTCATGGCATTTCCTAGGAGTTTGACTTAAACACCCGCCCTCCACTTGACCAGCTCACTGTTGGGTATTCTTGAAGCTCTGCTACATTAGATAACCAGATCTCTTGCCCCCGAAGCAGGCATCCTGCCTGTGTGGGCAGCCCATGGAATAAACCACCTAGGAACAACCAAATGCATCACAAGGATAAATGGGATATGTGGGGATCTGGCTGATGGCTTGTTGGACATGGAGAGGAAAATGGAGAGGAGTCAGTGCCACAACTTAAGGTAATGCAGTAATCTCCAATTCCCTGTCTGTAAAACAGTGCCCTCCCTATCTCACAGGGCTGTTGTGAAGACTGGTGCTAATGTGCTTATCTGAAAGGAATGCCCTTTTCTTGGATGCTTCAGTTTTTGGTGGATTTCAGAATGGTGCAGGGCTAAGCAGTGAGCATCCAATTTTTAGTCTCAGCTCTGTTGCAGGTAGACATTGCTGCTCAGGCTGGGTTGTGTTCTGAGCTGGGATGCAATGAAGCCAGTCTGTTCCTTATGAGGTAAGGGAAGTGAAACTGTTCTCAGGGTCTGACTGGAGTGGGGAAATGGCAGCCCTTTGGAAGTTGCTGAGAGCAGTGGTCACGCTGGCTAGAGCTGAAGGGAGTTGGGAATCAGACAGCCTCTGGAGGGCTACAAGTCCCCCACCATTACTTTGCGGTATCTTTCAACAACTCAAGAAGGAGGACCCTTTCAGGACTCGGCACACCTTTGGAATGTTGAGAGTTGTGGAAAATGGCCGCCTTGGGCAGGAGGTCTGTCCTGTCACAAAATTTCTTAGACAAAATGGTTGAATTAAAAAAATCTTGTTCATGAGCCTATGTACAAAGCAGAGATGAAGGCTGAACTCCAAAATGTAAAACCACTTGTTTGGATCCAAAGAAAGAGGGCAGCAGTTTGTTTTGAAGCATGCCATTTTAAAGTGTTTAACTTAAAAAAAAAAACTTAAATTAAGTAAAAATCAGGGAGGGGCAGGGAACCTGGCAAGAGCAAAGAGAGGGATCTGTGGGTACCATGGTGGAGGCTCTAGACCAGGGAATTCAAACTCGCAGCCTGTGGGCCAACTGTGGCCCGTGGGGTGATATTTTGTGGCCCCCACTGGATATCAAAGTTTAGTGATAGTGTGGCCCGCGTGTTTTTCTCACACGCACCTGCGTGAGTCGTTACCCTGGGCGCAATGTTCCCTCTAAGCTTGTGTTATGGAAAGCTCAGCCTTCTCAGAAAAACCTCTGCCATTTCCCAGCATGCAAGGCACTCATGGATTCTGGCACACCATTCAGCAGTGAGAAGTATGCTGATGCCATTGTAAAGCTACAGGAAGAATTTGATCACAGGTTTGCAGATTTCAAGACACACAGAGCCACTTTTTTTGCTGACCCCTTCTCCTTCGATGTGGAAGATGCCCCCCCCCCCCGTGCTTCAAATGGAGCTAATTGACCTGCAGTGCAATTCTGAACTCAAAGCCAAGTTCAGGGAGGTGAGTGGAAAAGCAGACAAGCTTGGACAATTTTTGAGAGAATTGCCCCTTACCTTCCCTGAGCTTTCCAGGATGTTCAAGCGGACCATGTGCCTTTTTGGGAGCACCTATCTGTGTGAAAAGCTCTTCTCCACCATGAACTTTAATAAGTCAAAGTTCAGGTCCAAACTTACTGATGAGCATCTTCAAGCCATATTGAGGGTCTCAGTTGCTTCCTCCCTCAAGCCAAATGTGGCTCAGCTGTGTAAGAGGAAGCGCTGTCAGGTCTCTGGCAGC